TTTTTATTGTCTTCCTGGCCTGTTAAGCATGCAGCATGGCAAAGCCTTAGCACACCCCTCCTTCTGACTATCCTCTGGTCAATTCAGACCCTTGGTGGTTGTAGGAGGTCCAATTAGAAACCAGTGATGTCCTCCTCTGCTAATACCTCAGAACACATCAATGGGATACAAGGGAATCTATTTACTATGAAGCAAGTTCTGCCTCTTTTCTACCTAATTCCTCCCCTCCCCTTCCCTGTTACTGCTGTGGGCCCAGAACCCCGTGGAGCAGTGCCAAGGAGCCGGCCTGGGCCGACACCGGGCTCAGGCTCTGACCAAAAGCATGCTGGCCCAGCCACCTTCCCCACGGCAGGCCCCACACCTCAACCGTGCCAGCACACTCAGGCACTGCACCTATGCAGGGTGAATAATTAGACCTGAAACTAGGTCACCAACCTGCCAGGAAAGTACTGAAACCCCACGCTCATCACCACAGCGATGAACGAATCCGGCTGACGAGCCCCCTTAACATCTTCTACTGATGGGCTCCTCTCATCTCTACGCCAATTGCTGGGGTGGCAGCAGCCTGACGGGCAAACTCGCAAACCACTTCCAAAGGACTCGCCACAATTCTTTTTCCAGGTTGATGCAAGTAGCAGGTGCTTACAAGTCTGCTCCTGTTCCTAAGTGGGAACTTGAAAGGGGAGAAAAGTCCATTTCAAAGTGTGCTTCACTTAAAGCTCTGAGGGGGAGAAAACAGGAGACGTTGCCCCGGCGCTCCACAGCGCACGGTGCAGCTGGGGGCTCCCAGGGCAGGTCTTGGCACCGTGCTGGGGATGCTGGGCCGGCTGGGACCGGCTCCCAGACCAGCTCTGGCTGGAGAGCTGGAATGCAGTTTGCTAGAGTAGTTTTCAGCCCTTCCCTCTCCTAAGAGCCAGCTGACTGCAGGAAATCTCACAGCAAAGCACCAGCTCCTCTCTCCGGGTGCAGAGCAGGAGGAGGGATGTTTCCTTTGGGTTGGTTTTTGCCGTGCATTCTGAAAGGGTATGGGAGGATCTCGTGAGCGACATCACGATCTCCCAAACGCATTTGGAAAAGGCACATATACAATAAAGCATATATCTAACTATACAATACCATATATATATATATTTATATATATATAAATATACTTTCTCGAGCTCTCCAGCTGCCCCAGACCATAGGCCATTCCTACCATCCTTTTTTTTTTTTTTTTAAAAGCTCGTAAGCCAAGCTAAGACTTCTGGTGGCAAATTTCTAGTGGCAAAGCCTATTCCATCACACTTTTCCTAAAATCCCACTCTGACTTTAGGTGACTCTGGTATTAGTGCAGCTTCCCTCCTCCCTCCTCATCACATTGAAATCACAGCAAGAGTTAAGAAAGGAATTTATCCAGCAAAGGAACTGTATTACTGTAGCTCCTGTCCTTGGCTGAAATAAGCACCTTTGCCTCAATTATCTCCAAAGTTTTTTTTTCTGGGAGAAGGAGTGTCTATTGTCTGGCTTCTTTCAAATCTGATCAAGCTAGCTCAGGATCTGGACAACAGCAATAACGTCCCATTAAAGGCCAGTTTTGAAGGGTTTGGTTTAATTAATGACCTCCTGCCTGACAACACAAATTTAGGAATGCCCTTGTAAACAGAAAGAAATTTGGAAATTCTTACAATTGAGAATTTCTTCAGCTTGTAGTAAACATACTTTAGCTCCATGAAGCTATTTTGTGAGCTGGGTCCTCGCATTGTAGAAACTCGCACCATTAAAAACCAGGCCAATTAGCCAATTTAGATTCTTTCTCCCTAATGCAGACTGATACAGGTTGATGCCTAGACACCTTCACATCACAGGGTGGATGAAAGCACTTTTTAAGGAGATTAAAATTGTTTTAATCTCATAAGTTACCGAGTGAAGAGCTGGCTTTACTGAAAAATGCTATATATTTGGATGTGCACTCCTAACCGATTGCAAAGAGAGGTGGCTGTAAAATTCATCAGCCATAACTGCAGATATATAGATAATGCCCTTTGCTCCAAGGATATGGATCACATCAGGAAGAGAACAAGCAGTCACATTTCTATTTCAATTAATAGGCTTGTAATCCTCTAAACTGAGGCAGAACCTTGCCATTTTTTGATGTAAAAGAAGTGGAAGGGTTTACTGGCAGGGATGTGCACAGAAATGGCCTTTTTTTGAAATTATTTTTAATGAAAATGAGGAATGCTCACAGGATGTCAATTCTAGATTTGCAAATGAGTGTTTTTAACTCGAAACTTGATTCCAAGAATTTCAGAAGAGTCCAATAAAAACCAGTCAGGTTCGATTTCCAACACCAAATACTCAGAACAAATGGATGTGCAGGCCGAGGATTAGCTACTGAAATTCCGAGTACACTGTGAATGACTAATGAACTCGTCAAAAGTCAAGAGCTTTTCTTAGAAACCTGCAGTGAGCAAGCAAGAGAAAAACCCAAACAAATCTCTGTGACCCCATCTTGAACACTTCTGTGAAGGGACAAACTGTGTTACATAAAACTCTCCAGTAATTTTCGGTAGGAATTAAATTCGTAAGTACATGTTCATCCAAAATTTTGTTCAAAATTTGAACTAGAATTCAATCTTCCTCCTTTCCCTAGCTCTAGGATGAAAATCTTTAATGAATATTCAGAAAAGGACACTGATAATAAAAATGAATGTAAAATTCTCCAAAAGATGTAGTTTTTGGAAGTTAACTCCCCAGTGCCTCCCCAGTTCACTATGCCTGTGACACCAGGACATACAGATCTCACTTGCTACCCTTAAAACAAGAAAGCTGGGCTAGGCTGAACCAGTGAGCCTCCCCATCTGACCCCTTAAACATCTACAGAATATACCCTACAGGAGGTATCAGTGAGTCATCAATGAACCCAAGTGCACACTAACGAACTGCAGATACAATTACAGCCAACTTCTCTGTGGATACACAAGAGATTCTCTGCCTTTCCCGGATTCTGGTGCTTTACCAAACAAAGGAAGAAATTTTTAACACTTTTTCCCTGGTGCTAACTATTCCAAGAAACCATAGCCCACGTTCTTTCACTGACCACAGAGGGGAAAATGGAGTGTTGCCCCCAGAGAATAAAAGGAATTGCTTGGCAACCCTTTTCTCTTGCTTGGGCACGTGTCTTTCTGGAGGCCCAGACAAGCCCTTCAGGCCCAGAACCTTCCTCTTTACACCTTGTTCTTAAAAGCCCTTTCCTGCCTCAGGAAATCACAACCTCTTTTTTCTTTCTTTTCGGAATGTCCAGGCACATCCTGATGCAAAACATGGCCAGCCACCTCCTAAGCCAACCTTCCTAGCTGCAGAGAATCAGCCATACGGAATAAAAGTGATGCCCCTCCAGCATTTCTCTGCTTTTCTCCTGCACAAACTCCTTTCACTGCACCAGGCACAGGACGATGAGAATGGTCGGTAGGACGGCAGTGGCTCATTTGCCTGCGTTTCCTCTACATTAGGAGGAAGAAAGAAGGAGGGGGAGGAACCCAACGATATTAAGAACAATGTTGGGAATAGATCTTTAAATCTGTCTCTCCAAAGCCTTTATATTCCCAGCCTTGATAGCTCTCACATTACACAAGATGACATTTCTCTCCATATTCTATTATAATTAATAGGCTACTGCAAGACTTTACCAGCTCATACTTAATAGCACTGCAGTGCTGGGAAGCAGTCATCAGGTAATCTGGCCATGATCTACTGTATCCTTTCTAAACACAGGTTCCAGCTGCCAAGAATGTCACCATAAAAAGATTTCAATCAATAACACTCAGCTCCCGCTTTCAAATGCTCCAGGTCTAGGAAGAAAAGAAATAAAAAAAAAACCCCGGTACCCTCAAAACGAACAGCAAACTGGCATATGCATGGAGTGCACAGATTGAAGGGAGCAGATGGAAATTCATTATGGCCTGATCTTGCTCTCTCTTTTATACTTTAGCAACTTTGTACTTTGGAAAAGGCCTCCCCAAGCGCATGGAGACCGTGTGCGCAGAGCGGGTTAAACCCAGGCAGATCTTTCCATTCTCAAGCTGCGCTCTTGTTGCCAAACAACAACATTTCAATTGTGATTGGTACAAACAGTTGGGTTTCAATGGCAATCTGTCCTGTAGGTTTAAGCCCAGCTTTTACTGATGCAACTTGCTGGGTGGTTGCTGGCTTTGTTATTTATGGGGAGAGAAAGAAAGGAAACAAACCAGATCAGTGGAATTTTTTTCCTTGTCCAGTCAAGGACAAGGACTGGCTCTGGAGTGTGTTTCTCCATTTGTTTTCCCTACAGTGAAATTAATATGTTAGGAATAAAAACGAAATCTGTAAATCCAAGCCAAATCCACCTGCACCTGCATGTATCACTTTCTGAAGAAGTAGGGAAGGTCACGTGCATCCTGTTGGTGTGAAGGGCTTCTGTGCTCTCCAGAAGCAAAGGCTACCCAGCAAAACCTGCTGGCACTTGCACCCCTAAATTAAAGCAGAATTGATGACTCAGAAACACAAGGAAATCACCGGTTCAGCAAATTAGCAAATAAGATGTCAAAAGGAGAAAAAATGGTCAAGGCTTGGATCCTGATGAAGCTGAAGGAGTTGGGGCAGTTCCACTAATTTCAGTGGAGCTAAGAGGATTAATGCTGGCCACGGATCTGGCTCCCATCACTCCCCCAGCTGCAAGTCTTAGTTTAGGCTGTTTCCAAGAGGTTAACACTGTGATAATAGAATGAGAAAGTATTTACATAATTATATATCTATACATACCTATATTTAAAAAACATGTTTTTACTAGTACTTTTGTCATTTTAAAATCCATAAATTTAAACCGAAATTGTTTCAGAAGAGCAGCGGAACCTCTTGAGTAAACTACAGACTCTCACCCACTCCTAGGCCACTTACTGTCCTAAAAGCAAGTTTAAATGTTATTCCTAAATGCTCTCTCTTAAAAGTTAGGGTGCGACTAAAGGAGTAAGGCTCCCAAGGGTCTCTTAGAAGCCAGTGAGACAACACATAGGCATGGAGTAACAGAATATAAACAATCCTAAAAAAGGTGCTTCATAAGTTAAGGAAAATAAAAATACAAAGCCTCAGACTCACCACAGAAGGCCCTCAGACTTATGAAACTAAACTGCTGTAATGTGGTACAGTGTTAAGACATACATTTCCTTTTTTTTTTTTTTTTTTTTAAATTTCTTTACATTCTAGGGGGGCAATACACACTGAACCCAGGAAAACAGCTCTCCCTTGAAAGCAACTCCGATTCATGCTCCTAACTCCCTCACAGTTTTGCTTTAAAAATAATTGTTCATTCTGCAGAATAAAGTTCCCCCCGTCTTCTCCAGCCACCAAAACCCCACACAGTAACTACACGTCAGAAAAAGGCTCTCCTCTGAAATGTTTCTACCTATTCCTCTGAAACTGTAAATAAGTGGCATCTTTTTGGGACTTGAAAGCACCTAGAAGGGTTGAGTGATATCCCAAAATAGGACACGGTGTACAACTGACTGAGACAGACACGGACTGCCTTCCAATTCCCACAGAAAGCGAGGCAGGTCACTCCCCAGAAAGCGACGGCAACAACAACAACCCCCTCTTTTATCCCTTCGCTTCCTTCTTTCTATTCTTAAGCTGGGCAGAGCAAATGAGGTTGGGTCCACAAAAAATAAGGTTAATAATAATAATTAAACAACAGCAACAACAACAACAGCAACAACAACAAAATAGGCGTTTCAATGTCTGAGGAAAAGTGGGATTGTAAGTGCAGTATTTCTTCATGTGCAGTTCTTCTACTTCATACGAGTCCCCTTTGGATGAGAAGGCCTAGCGGAATGTGTGCTCCCCTCGGACTATGTGCGACGAGAACTCATAGCGGTCCTGGCTCCGGTAGCCACAGATGTTGCACTCTAGAGGGTCCCGGTAGCCGTGGCAGCCCATGTGGATGGTGTACATGACATGGTCCAGGAAGAGGACCCGACAGTGCTCGCACTTGAAAGCCCTAATCTGCTCCCCTTCTCCGTTGATCACCTTGTAGATATCCTTTAAAGAGCCCTTAGAAGCTTTTGTGACATCCAAAGCCTTGGTCTCCTCCTTCATATAAGCCGGGCTTGGCTTCCTCTTGGGGTTTAAGGCAGAGTTTCCTTGGTAGGACTGGCGGTCGTCGTGGCTGCTCTCTGAGTCAGTAGAATCCAGGCAGCTATTGCTGGGGGAGCCCTCTCTATCCTGGGTTCGACTCTTTGGTCTGATGAGGGAGATCGGGCCATCCATGTTGTTGTCGTGACTGTCGGCGGTTTCCCTGCTGATGGGCCTCTCTATCCTGTTGGGATGATAGACCTGAGCGTAAGCTGAGCTGATGACTGGCGCCACCTCTGCAATTGTGCTTGGTGTGTGCTGCATCAGGGGGTGAAGTGCCTCAGCTCCAAGGTAGGTGATTGCATTGTTGATGGCTTGGTCCATCATGTGAGACTGCATCAGCTCAGCCTCCTTCTCGTAGGTTAGGTTCATATCGAAGGGGATGTCTGGATAGCCAAATCTCATGAGCTTTTCACCTACAAGATAAGAGAAACGCATGAGCAAAATCAGCGTAATCCCTCCCATGTTTCACTTAAAAGGGGGGGAGAGGGACAGAAAACCTCTGACCTGGGGTGAGGTTATTCTAAACTTAACCTACTTGTTTACTGACCTCCTACAAATTCCTGTCCTGGGATGGATAAAACAGCAACCTCACCAACAGCTTTTTTTTTTTTTTTTATTCCAGGTGACTCATGCAGCTGCAGTGACTTCCAGAGTAGTTCCAAACTTTCCACTGTGCCTGACTGTGCCCGTGCTTTAAGTTGGGAAATGCAAGTTAACTGGTAGATACTGAGATTGAAACACTGAGGTCAATAAGGTCTGACAGTTTATGTCATTAGACATACTCTCCCCAAAATTCAAGGGAGCAGTACCACAGAGGGGCATCATACCTACCTTACAACAGGGCTGCCTAGTGAGAAACCATCAAACAGGTACAGGGGGCTGTTATGGTGGTGCTTTTAGAGCCACAATATGTAAATCCCTTAGCCAGAGGGAAAAAATGTAAAATGTCTGTATGTAGCTAAGAATGGAGCAAGTTACAGGAGCACTGGAGACTGATCTTTGTTGTTTTCCCCCTTCAAAATAAAAGATTCTATCCTGTCTGGATTGAGTAAAAAACACCCACCTCCCACCCTCCCCCACCCCCCCCCACCCCCCTTCCCAGTGTTTATTTAGGCAAGAAAACAAATAGAGAAACTACATGTATAGCTTTTGTGAAAAGGCAAAAGCACTGCTCATTGATGCAGGCTAAATAAATAAATAATGATGCTGACGCTGGCTGATTCTTCACTGTGTGAATCCCAACTCATGTCCTTGTAACCTTTTTACATCAGTGGCATTACAGATGTGTGAAACCAGAACCACATGCTGGTACACTGTGGCAGTCACAGGGCATGTCACGTCTCACAGCTCTCCTTGGAAGAAGCTCTCCACTGTTTACATCAGGGCTCAGCACCACTGCTTTTCCACTGATGGCTTTGGAGGGGCTGCACAAGGAAAGTTTCACGTAATAACTTCTTTTTAAATAGAAAAGATTATGTGTGTATGATACAAGATGCTTGTGGGTGTTCACACATACAAGTATTAGCTGGTTGTTCACAGTAAGCTTTTAAAGCTGATTTTATGAAGTCTGATAAATTCTGGTTGGTTTCTATTGTCTTTGTTACTTCATTGCCTTGGTACGTAAAACCAGACTTTTTTTCAATAGTGTAAGTTAATAAATTCAAGGAGTCACTACTTACAACTGGTCTGGCTATCCAAGAAGTAAATTACTGAAGAATATTCTATCACCTTTTGCCAAAATTGCTTGGAACACAATGTGTATAAAACACCATAAGAAACTGAACTGTGATCCAAAATCTCTTCCAAACTGCATTAGTACATTTCAACACAGCTATCACTCCTCATTTCATTTTTGTCTTTGTCACAGTGGAAGAAGGCAATGAAAATTGGTCACCTGCTGTGGCCATTCCCGTGCTTGAATAAAGAAATGGATCTGGTGAGGGTCTGATTCAGCTAAGAAAGACACTGTCAGTTCTTCACAGGCTGTACAGATCAAGAAATATTACCTATCCTTTATGGACTACTTGGACAAATGATGCAAACCTTATTTTTATTCCTTTTATCATCCATGTTTAGTTACTCCAGCACGGACAGCAGAGAAAGCTGTAAATTGCCAGTGACCTGAATTATTTATTCCTTTAATTATGATCCAGTTCCAAAGATGTCAAAGCCTTAGAAATGGAGCACGACATAAAAAAGTAAAATAAATGATAACATTGGAAGGAGCCAACAAATGTGAGAAGTTGGACAAACAGTCCAACAAACCACTACAATGTGGTTTCCAAATTAAACTCCTCTTTAGCCAAATCTATACTTACAATTAACTAATCAGACTAATTATTCTGAACTTTCATGTAAAACTATGTTCAAATTCTACTTATTCTTGCCCTCCATTAGTGTAGTAGATGAAGAAACGGTCTCTGGTCACCATATGACATTCAACAGCAGATATATAACCAAGTCTCTCACTCAGAAATTAATTCTGTTTGCTGCACGCTGTTTCCTTTCCTCCTCAAATTCAGCCAGGGAAGAGACTGTGGTCCATAACCACGGTCCCTTGGAGATTGCTGATCAGAAAGAGCAGTAAAGCATTGATAGATGTAGCATGCAAAGATTTTAGCTTACGCTTACATGACCTTCTCATAAACACCATTAAGTTGTTTTGGACAAGTGCCATACTTGTAGTACGCACAGGAAAATTTCCTGCAAGCAAGAGAACCATTAACAAGTTCTTCCTGATAGAGTTGAACAATATTTCATTGGGGAGAAAAAGGGAAGAAAAGTGAGGTCATAGTGGGGAAAAAAAAAAAAAAGGTAGCAAAGTGAAGACTGCTGTTCTTCAACTCAAACGCTGTGATGCCATTAAAGACTAGAAGATATGATTTAGTAAATATGGCAGAGGTCACTTTTTCTCCTACAGCTAGATCTGCATAAAAACCTGAAACCTTGAATTCCTCGTCCCAGAAAAATGGACTACCAAAATGATCTATTACACCTATAGACAAAACGTGTTTATCTAATAACATAGTATAACGTGCTGAAGAGAATAATAATGTGCATCTCTCAGGCAAGGATTTCCCATCAGCAAAATTTACCTCTGAAGACAACAACATATAGTCAGTGGCGCATGAGTGGACAAGTAATATAACCTTTCTGGTCTGAAAAAGAGTCTACCATCTACAGCTTCCAAAAACTGAATCAATTTATACCATCCAAACAGCGGCTTGCCTCACTTGGGAGGTATCCTGGTCATCAGCAAGCTGCACTGCTTGTGGCAGCAGGCCTGGGTGTGCCAGGATTTTAGGGAGGGCAGAAAGATCTGTAGCCCTGCACAGATAACCTCTGTGAGGCACTGCAAACATGACCCTGTTCCGCAGACGAGCTGGGGGAAAAAATAGTGAGAGGTGTGAACTGCCCTTCTTCCTTTTGAGGCTGTAAGGTCTGCGAGGTCCAGAAGCACCAGCTGAAGTGTCAGCATATTTAACTCATGCTCCTGGTGATCCCAGCCTGCAGGAACTTGCAGAGACACCATGAGGGAAACCTACTATGGTGGGGCCATGTTTACCAGCTCATAAAGCTGTATGTGGCCTGTCAGTAGAGCACTGCTCCCATTTCCACCCTCTTCAACCCCAGCTGTTGTCGAAGCAGTAAATTAAATGAGAGTATAAATCCCGCAGCTCTTATCAGCTATACAGCACTTCGTTTCAGACCACTTTTAAGGACAACAGCCCAAGAATTAAGCTCTTCTCTCAGAAGAACTAAGGACATAGGAAATGCTGATGTCTCCCAGCATTCCTCATGTGGGTTGGATCATTCCTGACCCAGCCTTAGCTCACCACAGATATTTGGGAATGGTCAGCTGACCGAGAGCAGCCAGGTCAGTGTGTCAGCCCCCTAGGTGAGCTGCAGCATGCTGTTGGCCCCCTACTATTCCAAATCATGTAGGTTAGTGACAACCACCATCAGTGGTGATTTAACAAATCCATCTGAATCTGCATTTAGCTGAGGGGCAACAACTTCTCTAAATGGCTGTGTTAATTGCTTACATTCTCTGATCCTCTCTGTAAGCGCCTTCAGAATGAGGATGTAACACCCTGATGTTCTGAGTGACTGTCCTTGCAGGGAGCGAGCACGGAAAACACCTATTACATGACTTTAGAGCATACACTTACCCCAAATAATTCTCTGTGCCAGCTTCCCTCCTAAGAAGTTTAGCACTGCTTCAGTAGCAGTAAAAAAAAAAGCTTTAAGTTACAGCTCAAACCAAGTGACATTCTCCATAGTGTCTCCTGTTGCAAGCTGAGCAATTTTAATATGTCAAGACACAAAGCAAAATATGAATTCTGGGCCTATGATCTTAAATTTGATAACCAAAAGCCATCCAATGCTGTTTCATATTCATGCATTAGTAAGTTGATTGTGTGCAGAGTGCTGCACTTGGAGCAAGCACTTCTTCCAACACAAGGGATGCGATTTACTTCCTCATGCCAGTATTATCAGACCAATTGTTGCCAACTCTTAGGAATTTAATACAAGTCTTGAGATACTTGTTGTTTGCTTTTTTAACACTTATAGGGACGGATAATTATATGACAGTCTTGGCTTGTTGCTTTTTTTTGTTGGAGCAAGGAGAGGGAAGATGACAAGTTTAAATCCCAAAAGGGCCGGAGAAAACCTTTTTGAAAAAACAAAACAGCCTTAAGTAAAAAGCTAAAGGTCTCCTACAGCATTTTCATGATACCAGGGGCCTCATTTTTGAATTTTTTGAGTTGGTAAAATTAATTCAATGATTTTCAGGATTTCTTGCTGTGATTTAACCCTCTCCATTGCTGTCTCACAACGAAGTTCCAAGAGCTCTACTTTCCCCCTTGTTCTTTTGGCCATCACAAATAACAAGCTGCCTACCCCTACACACTGAAAATAGTAAGAGGCATATTCCCAGCTTACCCACAAACTTCTGTGGGGTGGAGCTTTTACGTTTTCCCATGTTGCTTGTCAGCTTCTCTATAACAGCAGGTCTCTCAAAAGGCACCACAGAAATATTGTTGTCCATCACAGGCTCTTGTTCCTTACAATCTTCCATAGGAGGTACTACATAAAAGCAAAAAAAAAATCGTATCAGACAGGTCTGGTCCACATTTCACCCACAACACGAATCATTTGCGCTCTGCTGACCGCACAGCGAGCACAACACAACGTAAAGCAAGTGCAAGAACACACTGGGCATCAAGACAGCAATCACCTGTAAGCAGAGCCACATTTACGAAACACCTCTCCTTATTTAGCAGAAGCCCAACTTTATCAAAAAAAACTCGTTTTGTTCCGCACACTCAAGATCCCCAGCGAGGAGGGGACGCTTCTGAAAACTCACTCTGTAGGTGTCATTTTGTGTTATTCTCCCTTTCATATGGTCACCTGCTGCCAATGTAAACGTTTAGTTATCACTCTTTGTGTATTCCATTGACTTCACACTTATCATACAGAATACTTACTCTTATTATTATCTTTTTGCACTAATGTCAATGATTAAAAATCACACAAGATATCAACGAGTTGTGTTTCCTGGGCCTGGCTGTGTGTTCCCTAAGACAAGCCTTCTCAAATGAAGGATCAGTTTGCTAAAGCGTGTTTCCTCTTTCTACACGCGAGACTGTAAAATCAACACACACTGTACCGGAATTACAGGATTAAACATCATGTGGAAAGTCCCTTCAGAATCAGATGTAGGAACTATCAGTTTTTGATTAATATTTTATCCCCTCAAACACAGATCTAACAACCTGCGAACGGAGGTTTTCTGCATCTGTCTTACCACTTTTTTGGAATCTGTAGGGATCATTCCTGTGCTAACTACAGCAAGTGAATGCTCAGACATTGTCTTTGAGACAATAACAAGAAATCAATGATCCCTTCTGTCTTTACTCATATTCCTCTTCCTCAGTTGCTGGGTTAGGGAATAAGGTGTTGGAGCCAAAGTATAGGAGTTGCTCAGGCTTCTGACCAGGGGAGCGACTCATACAGGCTTTTATGTCACTTGCTGACACAGTTATTCCCCAAGTGCCTACAAAGTACTCTGTTGAGCTTCCTGTTAAAAACACCAAAAAGGGTCAGTGGTACCAGACTGGGGATCAGGCCCAGAGGGACCAGGATATTTGCAATAGACATCAAGTGTGATTTCATATGTAGGTGTGAATTGGATACCTGGCCTAATTGTCCTGCATTCATCTTCAGAAAGTAGCAGGAGAAACTTGACAAGTATCAGGCATTATTCCATGTGCTAATGGCTTGGTTGAGACATAAAAAAAATTATTTGAGGTGAAGAATGGATGGCAGAGAAGCAGAAACTGCGATGATACAGCACAGAGTTCCTACAGTTTGCAAACTGAGAGCACCCCATTGCATTCCTTGTATGAGATCAACCTTCCAGCGAAGCCCTGGGTATTGCAGAGGTAGCAGAGAAGGACTCCCAGCCACGTGTTCTGCCAGCCCTCCTCCAGTCTCTCACCATAGCAGCCTTTTGTGTCACAGACACCTTCTCCAGAGAGAGACAGCGCCATAAACGAACACCACCAGCCTACTTTCCTCCCATGTAACCCTACTACCTTCAGGATCCTGACATGGAACAATCACTCCCCTGTTCTTAAACACTCAGCTGTTTGCTAGCACATAATGTATGAAAAATGGGGTGTTAAAAGCCTTGTCTCTGCCTTCTTTCTAGTAAGGAAGAGCAAATACCAGGCAATTACAAAACATAGCATCTGCTCAGGTGAACTTCTCAATTCAGACATTGGTAATAAGAAAACATGGCAATTTATTAATTTGATTCCATTTGTGCCTCTGCTGCTACGGAAAGCTGAGTACTTTGAGGCCTGGAATCCACCATATGCTATAAAATGATTTACTCTGCTGCTTTCTTATTTGTACAGGATGCTCCCCCTGAGAAACACAATGGTTTCTCATTTACAAGGCAGTCCTGCTGGCATCCCTGAAAGGGAGAGAAAAAAACCCAATAAATATGAAATGAATCTAATGTTGCAACAAAATGGGATGCAGTGTTCAAGTGACCTAATTAATGCCCAGTGCAGACTGGGAGGTTTGGAATACTTTAATAGCTAAGGGTAAAGTTTTAAGGTTAATTAAATACTGTGCTTGGTCAGGAGCTATCCGCACTACTCAAGTATTTACCAAGGAGATTTAGGAAGAAAGGGAAGATTATGTGTGCTGATTTTCACAGGGAACTGGATGTGACTGTCCTCTGGCTCACCCAAACTCAGTGGATGCATGCACACGCACGCACGCTCCGCGGGAAACTCTGGATGATCGCTCACTGCCACGGGCCAGGATCACCTGAGTGGCACTTCAAGGATTTCCAGCCCTTGGAAAGGGACAGGACACGGGAGGCTGGTGGTGTGGTCCCAGGGAGGTGCTCTAAATCCCTCCTAGGAACACAAGCTCAAAGCATGCTGGCTTTGTAGGAATGCACTTACCCACAAAACCACTCAAAACCTCCTGACTGGTTTCACTGCCGCCTGAATAAACCCCAAACGTAGCGACATTTGTATGGTCTTATAACAATTAAGTAATAATTAAATAATTTCACTGCTGGGCATATGTGCGTAGAATTTCCGACACAGAATTTGAAACCTTTCTTCCATGAAACATGAATAGTGCTAACAAAGACATCTGCTCTTCTCTAAGTCAGGCAAAAATCCTGCCTGGACTCCTTTTGAAAAGGTAAAATCACCATGAGTAAAAGCATTTTCTTTTCCACCTTTCATGCTGCAGGCACTTTTTCCCACCTCAGAACTCAAGTCTCTAATCCAGGGCACGGCTCTTTTGCAACAGAATCAATGAATCACACCAATATTTATGTTACGATGGGAATAAGTTTTGTTATGCAGATTTCCTGGGAGAAGGGAGAGAGGGAAATAGTCTTGTTTCTGAAATCATTCAAATGACAGGCAAAACTGGACCAAACAGGTGAAATGGCACACTTCAGAAAGCCAGTGCTTTAAGCTAAGAGCACATTGTCAGTTCTAGATCCATTAATTTTCATTTCCATTTTAGAAAGCATACAAATAAAGGACAAATAGCACAGCTTGCATCACTTTTTTTTTTTTTTTCTCCCTTCTTTTAAAGGAAAAACAGAATAAAAAAGGGGAACACCAAACCAATGAAACACAGCCACCAGTTCTCACCAATCAGCTGGCTCTGTGGTAAGAAGCTCATGTGTACACACTTACTCAGCAGTAAATGCAATTGCTTTTTTGTTGTAGTTCATCATACGTCAATACTTGGTAGTGGGAGCAACCAAAGGACAGCTGGCAGGTCATAACTAGCTTAGAGCAACTCATTTTACACTGAGAACTTACAGTCTCAGCTCAGGAAGACTTTTTTCATTCTGAAAATCAAGCCTGTACTCCATGAAAAACCCACACTTGAGTATGTTTCTGTTTAGGGATATTCTTTATCAGCTATCAGGGTGTGCTCCTGGATTGCCCATGAAAACATTCACCATCCCTAACACTGCAAATATTCTCAATAGCAGTTAACATGAAATGTTTCTAAGCCCAAACTCTCAATTCACAAACCTCTCCAGTCTTCAGAACAATGATACTGGTCTTTCAATCATACTCCTTAAAGTGACTATCTTTGAGTTTTTCCTTCTTAATTTGTAAAAAACCCACATGAACTATTAAAAAAGTTTATGCCATTCCAGTCAGGCAAGAATAGGGAAAAAAAAAAAAAAAAAAGAAGCAAAAAAATTACCCAGTGTGTGTTTTGCTGATAAATACTTTTGTGTGCAAACACCAGACACTGGGCTAAGTCTCAGCTGGTATAAATTAGTATTACTCCATCAACCTCAATTTCCTTTCTGAAGCTCACAATATTGCTATTTAAAAGAAGTGTGTGTGTGCTGAGAAATGACAGGAAATATTCCCATGGACCCTGGTGTGAAGTCTCCTGTGGGACCAGCATTTTAACGATGTTTTAAGCAACTGTGTAAGAGGGAAAGACACAAGGCCATTGTGTGTTTTATGTGGAGCTGGCCTTGGAGCCTCGCACAGCCCAGGGCTGGGCTGCTTTCTCTTCCTCCTGAAAAGAGCATCCTTCCCCATCCCACTGGAGGAATTGCCCTGGACTTTTTGCTTTGAAGAAGAAACGCATAACTGGGTGTAAACCATCGCTAGCCTTCAGCATTTCTCCCTCTTCATTCCTGCAAAGGTCGTGTTCTTGGCATTCAGAGACCGTCCTTTTTGTCACCCCCAATGCGCTGCTAGCCAGGAGACCGCAGACTAATTTCTCCCTCCAGGGTCAGCACTGCTCAGCTGAAAATTGCCAACAAGCAAGTCATGGGAGCTCTTGCAGCATCTGTCCCATGCTGAGCAGGGAACGGGACCACGAGGAGGGGCAGCTCAGAAAGCAACTGGCACCCCGCAAGAGGATGGGGTGAGACCCGGAGACTTGCACATTCCTACCCACACAACAAAACTAGCCCTTCTTCCCCTCCTCTTGCTTCCCCTTGTGGCTTTGGTCAGGTGATTTAGCCATCTGCAAGATGGATAATTGAAATTAAAGGACTGATCAGGCCATGGTGAAAGCACCCATGTCTGTAACATGCTTACAAACTGATCATCTCGAGCACAATGCTTGAAAAAAATCCAAACCAAGTATTTGGAAAGAGAGTCAGGAAAACTCAGCCCCAATGGGATGCAAAATAAACCAGAGATCAAAATCTCCAAAGCATACTCTCAGTCATCCTCAGGAATATCATTTCAATCTGTGACATGGGAGAGAAGGAAATTAATACATTTTTTTCAGGGTTATTTTAAGACCTAGCTTTAAGCTGAGCAATCATTTTTGTACTCTTCTCTGGTGTCGTTACAGTCCCAGGGGAAAGGACTTTGCTGCACAGCTCTACAGGTTGGTGCTCGTGACCCTCACGCTGAGCTTCACGGGTGGGAGCAATGCTAGGATGAGAGGTGAGATTTGTTTCAGGTCCCAGCTGAATGTGGAGCTCCCTGTCGCTGCCTGTCCTCACTGTGCCCTCGCTGAGCAGTGAAATGAAGACAGCGGATCAAACATCCCCTTAAACATTCACCAGGGGAGGCACAGACATATTTGCCCGGAGGAGAAAGAGGCACTAGTTGAATTCAAAGTGCTGTTTTAAGCTAATTTTGTTGAGAAAAGTGAAGTGGTTGTGTGAACATTTCTATTTTAAGCCCAAGCAAAGTCAGCCAGGCTGTAAAGAAAAGAACTGTCCGCGTGGGGTTTGCACCGGTTTAACTTCAGCTGGTAGAAAAATCAATGCAAGGTCAACCACTGCAGCTTCTTTGGGGAGACAAGGTTAAAGACTTGCCCCTCTTGTCATGGCAGCTTACAAAAAGCTCTGGATTTTTTCAGAAATCTATCAGCAAGAGTAAACCTAATTTTAACAAATAACTGAATAATAAACCCAGACGCTGAGTGGAATTTGGGAAGCTCCTCCACAACATGGTCTCAAACCTCCTGGCTGTCATAGCTATATCAGCCTACCTGTTATTGCCTAAGGAAAGGCTGCCTGAAGTCCTCACCTCCCTGCTTAACTAGACAGGCACACCCTTGCAAGCATGAAGAGTGTGTATTTTGTTGGGAATGAACTCGCAGGTTCAACTCCTACCAAGAGCTCCAACAGACCAGGCCCACAACAGGTACTTCAAATAGTAAAGCCCCAAAATCAGCCTATCCACTGGCCAGCACAAAGCCACCTCAGGCAGATAATCACTGACTTCAACATCTTTAAAGCCACCCATGACATTTTAAATGTTGATTTTAGTCTCCAGGGTGTCTATGAAGAGAGCAATTACTTAATAGAGTTGTATGAACATCTTGGCAATGACTGCTAAATATATTTAAAACACCATTATAGGAATAAATTGTTCATGGAAAAGTACTACTTAAAATATTTTGGAGATTTTTGTCACCAAAATATAGCCTATATTAACAATGCTGAATAGATTTTATTTCAGCTTGGATTTTCAGGTTTTTAGAAATGATCTTTCAGAACTTCTACAGAATTAGTTTCCAAATGAAGCCATATGACTCCACTCAACAATAAAAAGCAAAATGGAAGGGTTCTTTTGCCTTTTCATTCACCCACAATCTCACTGGCTTGGGTATTCTTAGGTATATAGTAATTTTTAATCAAAATGGAAAATGTACAATTTTAATATTTTCTGAATATCATGAAATTTAAAACACTTCAAATACCAAACACCTAAAGACAACTTTTAAAAGTTAAGAGATGATCAGTTTTAGAAGAGCTTATGAAACACTAATTTTGAATTAAATTATAACCAATTTTGGACAGCTACCATTTAGCATTTATTCCTACAGATTAAGCCTTCAACCCTGCAATCTGAGGCATTATGCTCATTACCCATACTAATAGCTCCAGAAATTTCTGAAAACAAATTCACAGAGTTTGACATTTCTTGCTTTCAACAATCTTTTTGGCAATCTTCAGTCCTTATGTATATTAACACATGCAGTGTTAGTTAACATATATTAATACTAGCACATGTAAATGCATACAAACATTTTTTGGTTACAATTACTTTCACCAACGCTATTGAATTCCATTCTGCTCTAGAGATTCTTACATCTATCCCTCCCTTTTTTGGAGGGATAAGATAATACTACAGAAAGCAGAAACAAGAAGTTCTGAATACCTTCACCATCCTTATAATTATCACTCACTATCAGAAAGGAGTGGGAAGGGAATCACACATTTTACACACGGGGGCTCTGGTCCCCAACATAAGAAGGATGTGCACCTGTTGGACTGAGTCATGAAGATGCACTGAGGGCTTGAGCTCCTCTGATATAGGGACAGCCTGGAGAAGAGAAGGCCCCAGGTGGATTTCAAGTGTCTAAAGGGGCTGCAAGAGAGCTGGAGAGAGACTTGGGATAAGGGCATGGAAAGACAAGAGGGAATGGCTTCACACTGCCAGAGGGCAGGGTTAGATGGGATATTGGGAAGAAATCCTTCCCTGTGAGGGTGGGGAGGCCCTGGCACAGGTTGCCTGGAGAAGCTGTGGCTGCCCCATCCCTGGAGGTGTTCAGGGTTGGGCTGGGTGGGGCCTGGAGCAGCCTGGTCTAGTGGGAGGTGTCCCTGGCCATGGCAGGGACTTGTAGCTATATGATCTCTAAGATCTCTTTCATCCCAAACTATTCTATGATTCTATGATATGACTTTTAGAGTAATTTGCTCAGGTAACTTTGGTTTATTTTCATCTCTGTATATTTTTGCATACTAAAAAGCAAAATACTGACAAACAAAATCAGCAAAAATGGTGCCGTTAAACTGGACAGACTGAGGATTTTAGCCCATCTTTCCTCCTTCCGCCTATCTGAATATAAACAACCTCTAAGATGGAAATGATACAAAGATGAAAGGAAGGAAGAAAAACATATGGAAAAAAACCCACAAGAGATGCTCCAAGTCCAAGTGCCCTCAGAAGACGGTTTGCACCCACCATGGTGACTCATGACCTGCCCAGCAGCCTCCATACTGACATTCTGCAGATAGTTGTGGCAGCGTTCCTTGTGCTCCTCCAGCGAACTGCGCTGCTTGTAGCTCCGGCCGCAGTAGTTGCACTTGTGAGGCTTCCCCACTGCGGAAAGAATGAGAGCACTGGGTCAAATCCACTGCACCCCGCTACTGCGAGCAGAAAAACTCTCACCTCCGCCACAAACAACTGTTGCGATGGAAAGACACCTAAGAAAGGTTACTCAGGTCCCAGGCCCTTTTCCCAGCCCTGTTTTCCCACTGCACACACCTCCTCCCACCCGCCGGGTACTTTGCCCCATCCGTTTTTCACGCTGAGGTGCTGCATCAGCAGAAGGAAAAGGGGGCGGACTTGGTTGCAAAGCAAATAAACAGATGCTGAGAGGGGAAAAAAACACCAGCCAGCTGAATCACACCCCACCACTGCCTGCGTGTCACCGAGTCTCGTGGGAAAGGAACTGCTGAGATATTTTGCCCATGGCCCGAACAGTTGCCTTCACAAAAACGAGCTGCCCCAGTGGCCTAATTCTTCTCCCAGTCATGGGGAAACCCATTACATGGCCCAGAGGAGTTCTCTCACTGAGAAAACTTTGCCAAAATTACTAAGGGAAGGTTGGAAAGTAAACAGAAAGTAACTTTGGTAACTGCACTGTCAGATGTCAGAACTGAGCAACAATCAGTAATTCAGAGACCAGATAATATTAAAATATATATAATACAAATCTATATACATCTAAACATATATACATAAAAATATAAAAGCTGTGTACAATTAAAATCAAGCCAAATGAATGCAAGACGTAGCTCCAGTTTTAAATATATTTTTTTTAATTTTGCTCAGCAGCATTATGCACAAATGGCAAGTGCTTCTTAATACATGCAAAACCTGGCACCAAATTCTCATAAATTATGTCCTTTTCATAGCATGTCATTAAGAAACCACAAGAATGGCCTAGCCCAAGGCCAGAAAGCTAGCCAGAAGGTATTTTGCCAAGCGGTGCTAATAAAGGCTTTTAATATAATTTAAACTTGTAGAACATGAACATTTATCCTTTAATAACTAAAGAGCTATTAAGTTAGTGCTACAAGTCTAGTAAAACACCATCGGCTGTGAATTTCAGAGCTGGCTGAGGGATGGGGAAGGTCAAACTTCTCCCAGAGTTTTGAAAATCTTGGGTAAGAATTTTAGTTTCTGGCCAAAGAAATTGAGAACATCCTCTGCTGGATAATATTCCATGTTTCTATTGGGTTTGTCCCAATACTGAAAGCTTTTCACAGTCATTTACTTAATGAAATCTGAGCTGTACTAATTGCAGCCAAGCTGCACCGTCACCCCTGGGAAGGGGAAAGGCAGGGGAAGCTGTGGGGAGGACAGCTGCAGCCAAGAAGAAGCTGAGCAGAGGGCTCTTGGTGCTGGGGCTGGAGCCCCAAACATGGAAAACCCAGAGTCAGGGCAATTCTCCGGGCCCTCTGCAGGACCAGCACATGCCACATCACCCTGGGATAGAAGATGAAAAAGCCTGAGCCTGAGGAACAAGAGCTGGTCCAACAGTTTAAAATGTTTTTATCTCAGAAAAAAAAGGATTTGATGAAATGAACACGCTTGCAGAAAGCTTCAGTTTTTCCCAAGGAGTTTGTGTGCGCAGCTCAGTGACACAACCAAGTTTTCCACCAGGGGAAAAAAAAAAAAAAAAAAAAAAAGCTGCTTTTAGTAAGTATCAAAACTGTGGATTTTTTTATTTAGAGACAAGGCTTATCCTCAAGAAAGCGTGTCTGAGACCAAAGAGTCGTTGTGGCCTTTATTTTACTTTGCTCTCTTGCTTACGCTGTTGCCATAACTGATGCTGGTAATGGAAATCTCAGTGGAGGCCCAGCGTGAGGCTCATTATCATTCCCAGAATAACTGCCCTTGATGTGAATGATCTGGATCAAGCCCCAGCTCTTAAACGTAAACCAGCCAGCTCATTCTGGAGGCACCTTTAGGAAAACACACCGGAGGCTCCCTAGGATGGAAAGCCTTTTATAATCACCATTACAATGCTTCATCATGCATCTAGATGGCATCAATGTCTGTCAGTCTGATGCCCTCATTAGAAGCTAATACGGTGTCTAATAAAAAAAAAAAACAAAACCAGTGCAATGGAAGGGATTACGTTAACTGAGCTGAACCAGTTGGGCTACACCAGGTTATCAAGCAATTTAGATAAACTGTAAGACACAAAGGCAAGGGATGATTGCTTGCAGCTATTCGAGGCGGACACAATAATTAAATTATTATCATTTAACACAGAAATATTCTGCTACAAGCTCACATTACAAAAAAATAATTGATTCGACAATCAGAAAAGAGGTTTTATTAGACCTCTTCAAATGGTTGCTCCCTGCATTGCAACCATTTCAGTAACTATTCACATACAGCACAGCAGAGCTTTTCCAGTAATATCTAGGATGGTCATCTACCTAAATTCCATCAAATTTCAAGGTCAATAGAGATGATAAAAGCTAATGATAAAGGCATGATTTTTACAGGCAATATGGGATTTGAGGAACATAACTTCCCAAGGAAAGAAATAGTCCCAGCACACACGCTCCCTCCTCTGGGAGAAGATAAGAGAATAAACAACATGTGGCAAATGTTAGTCATGTTGCCTAATACACAACTGAAGAATGAAGTTTGTGAGCACCAGTTGAGTAGGATCAAGTACAACTCCCTTGGGTTCATCTCCAAATTCTGTCCCCCCTGGCTCTAGAGATGCAATCACATCACAGCCCCACACGCGTAAAACCTGATTTTCGCTATAAAATTACAGAGTGACCGTGACTTGGGTTGTGCAGCAATTGATCAGGTCAGACCACAGTGGAATCAGGCCTGATAGCAGGAGTTTGTGTCACCAGCAATTCTCACAGCCTGTTTGGTCAGAGGTGCAGCAAGTCGAGGCAGCAATTACAGTCTAGACTTTAGAAATCGTGTCATTGTGACAAATGTCAAGCCACTGAAATAGCTGCAAATATCCCCTTGTATTCTCAAAGTAGTCTATGACAATACATATATATTTGTGGAAATGAATGTTGCCAGTGGGTGTACATCTCTATGTATTTCATATTACCCATTACAGAAAGCTGTAACGGTGTTTTGGAGAATTCAATTCCGGTGACGATCTCAACCGCGGCCTTTGTTCCACAGAACAACCGACATGAGAACATATCAGTGCCAAAAGAGTTTTCAGCCTCTGTCAAATACTTTATGGTAGATCAATCTTCAAAATTTGGCCCTGGAACATGTGGCTCGCGCTAATGGGCACGAGCAGTCTTTGTCTGTAGGCCCCTGACTCGAAGATAAAGAGTCCAACAGCGTTACAGCTACCGAACCCCTCTCTGAGCCCCCACTAAAGGCAGGACTTTCCAATGTGGAGCCATTTCCACTGTGAAGCCACTCACAGTTTGGCTCAGTTTGGTTGATATGAAGCTGCCTTCCCCGAGATCCCCACGGAAGACCATGGTACGTGGACGCTGCATTCGGCGTTGTGCGCAACCACCGCCACCAATGGCAGCAGCGCCCAGGCAAAGTCAGTACCTTCTCAGGACAATCAATCAGATAAAAAATTACCATAACCCATTCTCACAGAAATGACACACCACACTCAACGCAAACAAGCCCCAAATCTTTGAGAAATCTTCCGTCTGTTGTTGAACTGGGAAAGACCAGGGCACCGGGTAAAACCCAGCGGCCACACCTATGAAACAGCTAACTTAAAGAACATTTAAAAATCACTTTATATTTCTTACTGAAATGTCAGAATTTCCACACATTTAAGCTCAGATTTGTACAGATGACAACATGGCACAGAAAACCCACGGTGGAATCTCAGCCTCAAATGGAAAATATTATGACAGTCACAGTGAAAAAGACATTTAAATTTGAAGTACAATTTTTACCCTGAAACAGGTGAACCACTTGTCGAAATTCACAGTGAAACGGAGTTTGCTTGTGAAATTAAAATGCTCATGTGGAGGGAGGAGGGGGAAGAGGAGGAGGACATAAAAGCAAGGTGTTTCTGAGTTAGGAATACTTTGAGTCCTGTGGGTGAACTTTGATAGCTGAGAAGTCTGTGTGCAGCGACAACGAGATGGTGTAACTCTAAGGTCAATATTCAAGACAGAAAGTAGACTAGGGCCTAGAGAAACTTCTCTAAAGTCATAAAAAAAGGTCAGTAAAAGAGACTGTAAGGCACTCACACAGCACTTTGCTCTCAAAAGAAATGGGAGTGCAGAGCAGAATATAAAGTAAGTCAAAGGGAAACAACAATGCATCCCAGGTAACACCTTGCCATAAGCACATAAAGTGAGAAAGGCTTGTGGAACAGGTTAAGAGCTACGACACACTTTGCTGAGCTAAAATCCTGCCTTCCTCAAGATAAATGACAAAACACACACTGGTTTCAGCACATTTCCCTGCGTTGGGTAGCACATTCTCCTGAAGCAATGCAGAGCAGAACCCCTTCCCATCCGTTTGCCCGTGTCCCAAGCCCTGGCGACAGCTCAACCACAGACACCACCTGCTCATCCAGGAACGGGCATCACTGTGGCCGTGTGACCTAGGCCAGTCCAATCCAAGGACCAGAGACTTTGCACTGGGGTTTGTATCAGATTTCCATTACTTTTGCACTACTGCCCCAGCCAGGCCGTGGAAGTGAAGCCAGCCAGCATTTCTGCACTACGTGGCCATCTGACACAGCTACTTTTGGTCTGAGGGAGACCCTCTGATGGCAGTGCAATGAGTGGGACTTATTTCTGTAAAATTCTTGCTCAGCCCCTAGCACCCACAGCTGAAGCAAACACCAGTACTCGCTGACTGAATCTTTCTGAAGTAGCACCGAAGTTAAAATTTGTTCTTTGGGGCTGATACTTACACACATCAGTAAGGCTGTAGAATCCACCGTCACAATCATAACCCATACTAATTCACCAATTTGTTTCTTCCCTAAAACTGGAAGGTGCCTGGGTGAATGGAACTGTTCTGCAGTTACACAGTGGCTACCACTAAGTAGCCCTTTGTCTTAAATGGGACTTAATCAGAGTACAATCAGCTTTAACACAAAGGTAGAA